ACAGCCCAGAGCCTAACGCGGGGCTCGAACCCACGGACCGCGAGATCGTGACCTGGCTGAAGTCGGACGCTTAACCGACTGCGCCACCCAGGCGCCCCTGTACGTATGTATTTCTATTTAAGTCCCAATCAGTTAACATATAACGTAATAATGATTTCAGGATTTAGTGATTCATCACTTACATATGACACCCAGTGCCCGTCCCAGCAAGTGCCCTCCTTAATGCCCATCGCCCATTTAGCCCATCCCCCTACCCAACAGCCTGCCAGCACCCCTCAGGTTGTTCTGTTTTAAGAGTGTCTTATGGGGGGGGGCCCCTGGGTGGCTCATTCGGTTGAGCGTCTGGCTTCGGCTCAGGTCATGATGTCACAGCCTGTGAGTTCGAGCCCCGTGACGGGTTCTGTGCTGACAGCTCGGAGCCGGAGCCTGCTTTGGAGTCTCCCTCTCTCTCTCTGCCCCTCTCCCACTCATGCCTTGTCTCTCTCTCTCTCTTTTTCTCAAAAATAAATAATAAACACTAAATTATTTTTTAATTTAGAGAGTCTCTTATGGTTTGTGGAGACCTTGTTTCCTATCGGGGTGGGGGCCAGGTGGGATTGAGTGGCCACAGACACTGTGAAGTCAGATAGAGATAAACACTCCGAAGAAATACAATAGGGTTGTGACAGAGGGAGAGAGTTGTAGGAGACTGGGGAGAGTGGTGGCTGATTTGGGAAGGTGGTCAGGGAGAGCCTGTGGCAGGGGCACATTAGAATGTTCTGCTCCCCACCCCCCGCCAGGAAGGGAGAGGTCTCTGTTTGTTGCAGTAAACAGCCCTCGTCTGGTCTCTTGCAGCCTGTTTCTCCCGGGCAGCGAGGGTTCCTGGGAGTCCACAGGGGCCTTCAGGGACTCCCGTGTGTCTCCACTGGTGGAGGCCCTGCCCTCAGTGGCTGCTGCTCGGGAGGGTGGTGGCGTGTGTGGCTTCCGACTGTGGCCGTGACCGAGTGACGTGTCTGAGGGCTCGGGACGGTGTCTCTGGGCAGTTTGACCTGGGGATTTGGAAGGTGACAGATGTGGGGGGCCGGGACAGGGGAGGAAGACAAGAGGGAGGCCGTCCCCGGCCGGTGACAGAGACTGAGGTGACCTACCGCCACACTGAACTGGCAGATGCGGGGCCAGGCTGGGCGCCTATACATGGTTCCTTGATCCTTTCCAAGAGCTTGTCTTGTCGAGGGGCTTGTCCGATCCTGTCTGTTTCCTGTGCCTCTCCTTCCTCCGCCCTCCCCTCCCTGGCACTTGTCAGCGGGCTGGGAGCAGGTGGCCAGGGGGGCGGTGAGCCCCGTGGGACAGCGGGCCCATCCTTGCTGGGGGTGCTGCCTCCGCTCTACGGGCTGACCTCACCTCCTGGGTTGTCTTGGGAGAATCCTGGCAGCCTCTTCCTCTGTCCCTTAGAGCTGGGCTTTACCTCTGGGACCTTTCCAGAAAACCACTAGGAGTTCAGGAAGGAGTCTATACCCCTCCCTCTGTTTCGTGGGGCTCCTCTGCCTTTGCATCCCCCTACCCCCCCAGCTGGGGCATTTGAGGCTCTCACCTTAGCCAGACAGCTTCTCAGTCACCCAAAACGGCAGTGCTGCGGAGGAAAGGTTCCTCAAAACGTTGATTCATTCATTTATTCCACCCACATTTGCTGAGCTCTCCGTTGTCATGTCCTTGCTGTACTGTTGTGTTTTTAATGTTTATTTATTTTTGAGCGCACAAGCAGGGGAGGGGCAGAGGGAGGGGGACAGAGGATGGGAAGAAGGCTCTGCGGTGACAGCAGCGAGTGGGATGTGGGGCTCGAACTAACAAACCTTGAGATCGTGAATCGGAATCAAGAGTCGGACACTTAACCTACTGAACCGCCCAGGTGGCCCTAAAATAAAATCTTAAAAAAAAAAAATAAAAAGAATGAATAGATAAACAAATGTGGTCCCTCCATACTATGGACTATTATTTGGCCATAAAAAGGAATGAAGTTCTGACACATGCTCCCACGTGGATGAACCTTTATGTTCAAACACATTATGTTCAAACACATTATGTTCAAAGCCAACCACAAGAGGCCACTATTGTGACGTCATTTACATGAAATATTCAATACAGGCAAATAGAGACAGAAAGTGGATTAGTGGTTGCCAGGGGCCCAGGAGGGGGAAATGGGGAGTGACTGCCTTTTTTTTTTTTAAGTTTTTTGTTTATTTTGAGAGAGAGAGCACGCGCGCCAGTTGGGGAGGGCAGAGAGAGAGGGAGGGAGAGGGAGAATCCCAAGTAGGCCCCGAGCTGTCAGCGCAGAACTGGACGCGGGGCTCGAACTCAAGAACCCTGAGATCAGGACCTGAGCAGAAACCAAGAGTCAGTGCTCAATGGGCTGACTCACCCAGGCACCCCGGGAGTGACTGCTTAACGGGTCCAGATTATTCCTTGGCGAGGCAGGGGGCTCAGAGGCGGGGCGGTGGGCATATTCTAGAACTAGATAGTGGCAATGGTTGCACAACATTGTGAGAGTCCCACGTGCCGCTGAGTCATACGCTTTACAGTGGCTAAGGGTTAATTTTATGGTCTCTGAATTTTATCACAATTAAAAAAAACAGAAGGAAGTCAGCAAGCTGGAAGTGTTTCACGCTTCTGCTCTGGCTTCAAATGAAAGGATCTACAGGGGTGTGTGGTGGGAGGCAGTGCTGCGCAGGAGTGAGGGGAAGGAACCTGCCCCGTGCTAGGCCCTGCTCCTGCAGGAGCCTGAGGCTTCCCTCCTCCCAGACCCGTCTGCACAAGTGGAGGTGGCCTGGCCTTGGGCCTGTGTGTGTGGGGGGGTGCATCGCGGGTGCCGGCCCCCTTGGAGCTCCTCAGAAACCGAGGTAGGTGGATGGTGGGGAGAGCGGAGCCACAGCATAGAGCAGGTGGCTAACAGGGGTCACCCAGGTGGGAGGGCAGATGGGGCAGGGCGGGGTGGGGGGGGGACTGGAATGATGACAGGGGTGTCTGGAGAAAGAGGTCTGTTGGTGTCCACAGAATGGGTCCTCCTATTCACTTGCTTATTAAAATCCTCCCCTGCGGATGGGGTGCCCAGGTGGCTCAGTCGGTGAAGCGTCCGACTTCGGCTCAGGTCATGATCTCACGGCTTGTGAGTTTGAGTCCCGCATCGGGCTCTGTGCTGATGGCTCAGAGCCTGGAGCCTGCTTCGGATTCTGTGTCTCTC